ATTCAGCTTATGCATCGCGAAGGTAGAGAAAACCGTTTTGAAGCTGAGGAGAAGGCCTCGAAACTTGGAGGGAGGGAGAAGAGTGTTCTGGATACCGGTACATATATGGTGAGAGTTGGAAACGTTACCGCTTTCGCATGACTCGGTATGCAACCACTTGGTATCCGTCCCTCTGTCTCCGTCCTCACCTGCTCTATCACCCCCCCTGCTATCCTACCGACAGAGGGGCCATGGCAGCCTCCCAACCGTGGAGAGACAGCCTCTCTGGATGACGCACTCTCCTGTTTTGGCGCAGGCATGTGGAACACCTTCTGAGGCGTTACTTTTGAGAATCTTTTGAGTATCTTTCACAAGTAACATCAAAAATATTATTTCCCTCTATCCTACCGGCAGTACTCCTCGGGAGGGCCGTGGCAGCTTCCCACCATGGAGGGACAGCCGCTCTGGATGACGCACTCTCTTTCTTTCGGCGCGAGCATGTGGAATATCTCCGGCTCGTCTCCTCTGCAGCAGGCCAGCTCTCTGGTGCCTCGTTTCCTGGAAACTGATGGGAGCCCGTTCGCGTACACGTTGGAGGATGCTCAAGACGTTGTGCTTGATTTGCCGGAGAGCGGGGTCGTGGTGTATAAGAGCCATGCGCTGCTTTTCCCTTATAACATGGACGACCTTGGCGCATACGTAGGTACGCAGACATGCAGAGACTCGCACACGTCGCACACACGCCCAAACATGATGCACGAGCACGCACGCACGCACGCACATGCACGCGCCCTTGCACACATGGTGCATTTGAGTGACTCAAACAAGCCAGACTTGTTTCTCGTACGCCGCGTCACTTGATTTTTTTACAAAGTGCCTTGCGATCCCAATCTCCTTGCTTCTCCCAAGCTCCTGCAGGAGCCGCTGCTTCCAACTTCCACCGGCTTGCCTCCATTGGCCTGACCCTCACTTGTGCTGCCATGACCGCCCTTTTCCTGTTGTGATGTGGTAGCTGTTTTCTAGCTGTTATTCATTGTCGCCATCACTATGGTACGGTAAATGCATTGAATGTCACATTGTGCGTGCCTGTAGCCTCATACCGTATCACCCCGGATATAGGCGCCGTCCGATTATAGGCGCCGGCGCCTTTATCTGGAGCATGGCGCTTATGGCCGGAACTCGATTATAAGCGCACCCCCTGTGATTTCTGTTCTTATTATAAGCGCCACCCTTAAACTTTTACTAGAATCATTACAAAGAATTCACTAAAATGTCACCTTTTCATGGCCACTACAACATCACTTTACGCTAGATCTCCTAACAACAAGTTTAGCCGGGGTACTTCTACCTAACATGGATCATCCAGTACCCCTCCTACTCCTCCTCGTCAGATTCGGGCTCCTGGCAGTTGTTGCCAAAAAATCCATCAGCGATGATGTCGTCGTCGACATCCACTTCCGCTGTCAGCTGGCTCCGCCTGTGCGCCATGGCGAGTCCGTCCTCACTGCCGTCAAGCTGGTTGCTGATGCCACAGGTGAGGAAGGCACGCTTGATGAGGTCGGCCGGCACTGCCTTCCAGGCCTGAGATATCCACCTCAGGACGACCTCAGGTGGAGGCTTCTTCAGGTTACCTGAAACATTACGGGAGAACGGAGGAAAGCCGTTAGTGCAACAACAAAGAATTCGGGGGGGGGGGGGGGTGGGGGGGTAAAACAATACCGTACTCATGCCATACCTGCTGCCGTCAGCTGCTCTTGCCCCTCTGCCTCAAACCACCTCTGGTACTGCTGGCGGACCGACGCTTTAAAGCTCTTGTTGATGGAGACATCGAGCGGCTGTACCTCCGCCGTACAGCCCGACGGGATGATTGCCGGCACGCAGTTCATCTCGCGGAGCTTCTCCTTCACCCCCTCGGTGAGGTGACCGCGGTAAGAATCCAGCACCAGCATCGAGCTCTTGGCTTGTCTGCCGAACTTAGGCTTCAAGAAAGGCTTGACGCCCTCCTCAAGCCAGCGAATGACGCCCGCGGAGTCCATCCACCCGTTCTCTTGGCAAGCCACGACCACATCTGCACGAAAAACATACGGGTGGTTAGAATTCGAAAAAAAAAAAAAAGAACGCCGTTAACGAGCAGAGCACCTCTTGACTTACCGGCAGGGAAATTGCCCTTCGGCAAGGTCTTGCGCTTGAAGAACACCCACGGCTTCATCTTCAATCCGTCCGCCGTGCACGCCAACATCACGGTCACTCGCTGCTTCTGATACCCCGCGCTCCTGATAGGCACCGAGCGAACACCTGTTTCCTCCACGGTGGTGGTTGCGGGCATCTCCAGCCAGAGCGGCGTCTGGTCCGCGTTGATGATCCACGCGGTGTCGATGCCGCGCTCACGACGCTTGGCCCGCACGAACAACCAGAAGCTCTGGCACTGCTCAGCGACATCTGTACGACGGTGGAAGAGAGGACGGACACAGAGGGAGGGTGTTAGTACAAATAAACTAAAAAGCACGTGGCAAAGTACACGGGGTAAATCTTACGCACGGCAATTTTCTGGGCAACCCGGGTCTTCATGCGGACGCTCAGATTCCATCGCCGCCGAAAACGCTCCGACCACCTCTGGCTTCCTTTCCACTTCTTGTCCGGGTACAGAAGCTTCATGAACTCCCGCGACCACTCCAAGAGGCGGCCGACTGACACGGCGGTTCCCTTGCGGCGCCACTCGAGTAGCTTCCCGTACACCTTCAACTCCATCGGCCGGTACCACGATGCTCGCCCGCGGCCGTGCATGCGCTTCCGAGCGGAGTGAACTTCCTTGAGGAATTCAGCCGCCCGCTTCCAGTTGGTGAGGCACTTGCGGTGGATTCCGCTCTTGCGAGCCAAGGCGCGCACCGACACCGCCACATCAAGCAGAGCAACCCACTTCAACTTCTCCGCGGCGGTGTAACCTTGCCGCTTGTGGTCGGTGAGCTTGTGCCTGGGAGAGGGGGGGCGGTGTTAATTGATATTGCATATCTTATAACTGCCTATAGCTTGCTAGTGTATTAGTTTAGTTATTAGCATCAACTGCTGGTGGTGTACCCTCTTCTTCTCCCTTCCTCTTTCCTATATCTTGTATGCTTTGCCTTTATTGAAGCCCTCTTTTGGCCAATCTCCTCTCCCTCTCGATACCATCCTAAGCCTAAGTCCTAAGCCCTAACTACCTAATCTTAACAGGCGGGCATCACGGTTCTGTGAAGAGGGGTGGGGTCGCTTGCGATTAATCGGAGGATAGGATGGTATGGGCAGTTTCTCGGGTAGCCCGTCGCGTGACCAGTGCTCCACGCCGTCGTCGTCATCGTCGCCCGTAACACCTTCTGGAAACACATCCTCAGCGGTGCCGCCCTCGGCGCCGCCCTCGGCAGAAGCCTCCGTGCCACCTCGGCGCCGTCACCGCCGCTCGCTTCCTCAGCGTCAGCAACATCATCGTCGGCGCCGACTGCAGATTCGTCCCAAGGGCAATCGTCGGGCTGTCCCCAACGTGCTCCAGGCGCGTACTCCACTTCCACGTACTCATCTTGCGCCTTGTTAGACTCCGGTTCGGAGAGGTATTCATCAAACGCCGATGGGAGCAGCAGCGTGAGCACGGGCTGATTGCCAGTGTGTTGCGGAGACACAGGACCCTGAGTACACGGAGGAACAGGAGGAACAGGAGGAACAGGAGGCGCAGGAGGTGCAGGAGGCGAAGGAGGAGCAGGAGGCGCAGGAGGCGCAGGAGGCTGTGGTGGCTCTGGTGGTTCTGGTGGGATACGGGAGTACCACCCGTCAGCGTCTACTCTAAACGCGGGCCTTCGCGCAGGTTTTTTCTTGAACAAGAAGTGGGTGCCGCTGAATTCCGCCATGGCTTCCCCAGCCAGGCGAGAGTGACCAAGAAACGGAACGAGAAACTGAAAGAAAAGGAGCACAAATGAGGGATTCAAAGGGACCCCTTCTGGTTAGCGCCTCGGGGTCCTCGTCGGGGAGAGACGGGTACCCCCTGTCTGAACCCGGAGAGGAGGGTATCGCGGCACGAACATGCTGCGCTGGCAGGGCATTCCAGCCCCTTCTCGATGGTTCGGGTGAAATGCAGCTGCCTGCCAGCGCATGAAAGCCTGATTGGGCCGCATGGCAACTTTCACGTCAGCGCTGGCAGGTGCGCTGCTCCTGGACGGGCTTTGTGCGGTCGGAAATCGAAGCGCGGCAGTTTTCGGCGGGATTTCATGCATGATGCCACGCGCACGTTACACAATTGTGTTCGCCTTATTGCGGGCTTCGATTTGATACTTATAAATAACAATTTATTTTTTGCCATGATATAAGCGCCGGCGCTTATGGCCGTTATTCAATTACAAGCGCCACCCCTAAAAAAAACGATTTTATTATAAGCGCATATGCGCCTATATCCGGGGTAATACGGTACGTGGTACATACCGCCCCCCCCACGTTTTGTGCTCCACAGGCATGATCAGCTCGGCTGCTGGCTTGTTCTGCACGTTTAGCAAAGGACTGAACTTGCCATATGTTGCACCGGTGCAAGGCACTTCTATTTACATGAGAGCCAGCACAAGGCCAAGGGAGAGCAGCACACAAAACCACGTCACAGATCCTATCGGTGCAGCAACGGAGAAGCCAGTTTTGGGCACCGTGGTGCAGTTAGCAAGGAGGATGTGACCGATGGGGGGAGGAGAACAGTCATGCCTCACTCTGTCATCCAGCAGGAACAAGTCAAGCAGGCGGTGGTGACCAGTGAAGGGCACCGGCTGCCACACCACCACCTTCACGGTCGCCACTTCCTACCTGTCTCGTTTACTCCTCCAGGCACTGACTGGAACATTATAGGTGCTGCCTGATAATAATGAACCATGCAGTGCTGCATGTCTAGTCAATCTGAAGTGCCCCTACCCTACCATCTCCATGTGCGGCAGGCATCCAGCTTGACTGTGCTGCAGTCTATGAGCGCCAAGTTAATCTCACCGTGCGTAGCATCCACCCAAGGCACCCATTTCTCACTACATGAGAGCCAGCAGAAGGCCAAGGGAGACAAGCACACCAAACACGACCACAAATCCTATCGGCGCAGCAACGGAGCAGCCAGCCTTGGGCACTGCCATGCAGTTACCCAGGAGGATGTGGCCCGGGGGTGGGGAAGCACAGTCATTGCTCACTGCGTCACCCAGCACGAATAAGTCAAGCAGGCGGTGAGCCGTGAAGGGCACTGGCTGCCACACCGGCACCTTCACTGTCGCCACTTCCTTCCTCTCCCTCACACCTGCTGCCTTGTTTTCTCCTCCAGGCACCGACTGGAACATGAGGGGTGCTGCATGCACCGCTGCTGTTACAGTCACGCTGTAGTTGATCCCTGCCCCCTCCACCACATTTGCCCTCTCTGCAAGCACATCCAGAAGAGTCAAATACGAGAAGTCGTTGTCTTGCATATTGCGCTCGCCGATGGCGAAGCGAGCGAGGGAGCGCATGGAGAAGCCATTGGAGGAGTCGTTATAGGGGACAGTAGCAGAGGCATTGAAGGAGATATTGGAGGAGGCATTGGAGGAGGCATCATAGAGGGGATAATAGGAGGCATTGGGGGAAGCATTGGGTATCATCCCATTGTCGGCAGTGGCAGCAGCAGGGATGAGCACCCACCCCTCATCCACACACATCCCTGCCATGGCCCGTGCCAAGTCCCACTTTACCACCCCACCACCGCCACTGCTGCTGCTGTTGCTGCTGCTGTTGCTGCTGTTGCTGCGGCTGCTGCTGCTGCTGTTAAACGCACTGCCACTGGCGCTGCTGCTCGCATTCCTCCCGGCACACCCCCCTGCTGCCGCCACGCCCATGTCCCCCGCTGTTGCATTCCGCTGCGTCCCCGGCACCGCCGCAAACCACGTCACATTCACCAACCCCACCCTCCCTGCTGCTGCTGCGGCTGCTGCTGCTGCTGCTGCTGCTGCTGCTGCTGCTGAAGCTGCACCAGAAGCGGCATCACTCGCGTTCGCCCCTTGTGAAGTAACAGGCGTGAAATTTGCTGTTGTTCGTCCGCCCCAAGTCCAGTGCATGCACGGCATAGTGTGCCGCCATGCCTGTGACCTCATCTGCAGCCAGCAGTGTGAGCGTGTACTCTCTGTATCCCGGCACCACCACCACCTGTGCCTCCAGCACCGACATCAGCAGCAGAGCGCTGCCCTGTGGGGGGAAGAGGGGCGGGGAGGGAGCAAGGAAGGAGGCAGTTGTAATGGGTCTGAGCATGTGCCTCAGCCAGTGGTACTGCACCTGATTATGGGGATGGACGGAAGACTGACCCCTGTAAAGGGCAGAGCCCACCCCATCCCATCCCATCCCATCCCGTCCCGTCCCGCCCCGCCCCGCCCCGCCCCGCCCCGCCCCGCCCCGCCCCGCCCCGCCCCGCCCCGCCCCGCCCCGCCCCGCCCCGCCCCGCCCCGCCCCGCCCCATCCCATCCCATCCCATCCCATCCCATCCCATCCCATCCCATCCCATCCCATCCCATCCCATCCCATCCCATCCCATCCCATCCCATGCCATGCCATGCCATGCCATGCCATGCCATCCCATCCCATCCCATCCCATCCCATGCCATCCCATGCCATGCCATGCCATGCCATGCCATGCCATGCCATGCCATCCCACCGCTCACCTGCCTCTCATTCTCACTCGCCACCGCCCCTCGCGCCACTCGCTGCACGTCCTCCCCTGACAGGTCAACGTAAGTCAACTCATCGCCACATGCAACGGTCGGCCGCCGCACCACGTGCCTCAGCGCAATCTCCTGCTCCTCCTCCGTGCTCGCATGCTCCGACCCTGCCTGCATGGTGAACGACCTCAACCCGTACTCCCCTCCCACTCCTCCTCCTCCTAGTGTTTCCGCTGTGGCTTCTGCTGCTGCTGCTGCTGCTGCTGCTGCTGCTGGCGCGGCCAGAGTGCCTACGGGTTGTGAAAGGGCAGCGGGAGTGAGGGCAGATGGCGCGGGGGCAGCAGGCGTGAGGGCGGATGGTGCAGGCATGGCACGGACCCATGAGACGAGGGCGTCAAAGGAGGCGGTGCGGCCGCGCAGCAGGCTGAGCGCCGTCAACGAGAGCAACGCAGCAGGCTGAGGCGGTACTCCTCGTGGCTGCTCCAGTCGCCGGCGCTCCAGTTGCCTTCGTGCTCCACCCACACTAGACTGATCGCTTGTAGGGTGTCGTTCTGGCGTGGGGAAGCGGGGATAAGGGAAGGAGAGGAGACGAGATGGGGAGGAGGGGAGAGTGGGAGAACGGAAGAAAGGAGGAAAATGGAGAAGGGTAAAGCAGAAAGGAGGAGGAGAATGACACACTTAGCCAGCTTGACTCCAATAGTCTTGAAACAATTATTTTCGCCTGCCTCGCCGTGGCCTCGTTCTGCTGCGCCGCGGCGAGTCAGCTTGAGTTCTCGAGTAAGAGTACAACACTCAGTCGACTGTGACTCGAGTATCACCTCGGCCGCGTTGTGTTGTGCCACAGTGTGCTGTGTCGCGGTGTGTGCCACAGTGTGTTGTTCGACTCAATCTGACTGTTAATCCAGTCATTCTGCTGCGTAACACGGTGAGTCACCTTGGATTCACTCACAAGTAAGAGTACAATACTCAGTCGACTGTGACTCCAGTCTCACCTTGGCCGCGTTGTGCTGTGCCACAGCAATTCGAGCCATGGCGATTTTTTCCTCGCCACCCGGCCAGTCGAAGTCGAACTCCGTATTAGGGTTTGGAGGGGAACCGTTCGCCGCTGCCGCGAACAACGGCGGAAGACACGCATGACACGTGGATGCCACGTGGCAGAGGATAAGGAGGCACAGCTGGAAAGTCAGACACCGCCGCATGTCAACGTGACGGCTCTTCATGATCGCAGTATTTTCTCGAGTGACTCTGTAACGAGACAGCTCTCGGTTCGCTTGACTGATAGGCGCTGGTGACCAAACGAGGTGTTAGTGTTGACAGGCTGATGTGAACGTCGACTTCATCCATTGACGTTTGATTCCGCACCTCGACTCTATCCAGGCCTACTATTTAAACATTGTGACGCGCGCAACTGATGGGAGACTGGATGAGCGTAAGTCAAAACTCTAGCCCTGAAATAACGGTCGGCGTAGACAGAAAGCATGCTGTGGAGGAGGAGGGTAGAAGCCATTGCGGTGCGGAGTCAGCTGAGGATGCGAGGCGAGGGACGACGAGGGAGAGAATATTTGACGACGACGGACGCCGGAAGCGCGCGACTCGCGAGCACGTGGGTTGAGGCTGAGCTGTGCTGCTATGGTTCCTCTCTGTCGGCTCAAGTCAGTCTCGTCTGCGGTGTGTGGTGGGTGGAACGACTTGTGTGACTCGGCAGGAGTTTCGGTGGCATGGCAGCACAGAGAAAGTGGAAGGTTGGGAGGATGGATTTCGCGAATTGACACATGAACGCTCAGCACGATCGCGAAAGAGGTCGTTACTTCTTGTGTGCGAACTGTGCTGTTTTTTTTATTTTGTTGTTGGAATATTTGCGAATTTCGTGAGAAGGTGAAGTTCGACCGAATTCTCCAAAAGACAGATGGAGCGAACCAATTGCGACTCAAGAACGATCTACATACAACAGCTCTTCGCCTAACCGAACCAGTTGCGGCGAATCAGTACTAGCAACTCGATAATTTCTGCCAAAACACATACGGTCTCGAAAGAGCTCGCATCACAATTCTCACAATGCAACTTTCCCCATTGTCGGGTCACAAGGCGCTCTTCCTAGGTCACTTGATATGGTTCGCTATAGAGTCTTGTCAACCTTGGTACATATACTGGGCGTTCTTCTGTTTGTGCCAATCAATCAATATGACAGACTCGATAATAAACGCGCCGAGGCGCCGTGGGTTACAGGTGAAGTCGATATCCGTTAGCATGGTGCCTGCATGATGACAGAACGCACGCTTGAGTTGCCGCTGCCACCTGCACACGCCTTAGGGTTCGATTCTTCAATTAAAGCAAGGGTGCACATTCCTAGGGGTGGTTTTTGGGGGTACTTTGTCACACACCCTTTGATGCGTGCTGATTTGACTGCGAAGTGTTGAGGGTCATGAGAGCTGGTGCGAGGAAACCAAACACTGCTGGCGACCCACACCAATTTCGTACGGCGGTACACGGGGGGAACACAGGGAGCGGCGGAAAACAAGCGGAACGCGCAAGTAACAAAGCTAGCACAAAAGCATGACACCCGTCAATCTGTCCCAGCTAACTCGCCACCATGAAACTGATTGCTACGTATCCGATGATAAACCGTCATTCCCCATATCTAGGAGGGCAATCTATACGCGCCATAGTCACGGACGGAAAAGTGTCTTGAAGTAATAATCTGGATTGCGACATCGTGAATGGCCACTCCGCGTCTAGATCGACCACATAGCCCCGCGCGGCGCGTCGTGATCCCTTCGACTCACAGCCACATCGCTGTGTCGCAAGCTCGCACTACGGGTGTATTCCCCCTCGGCCGGGAGTGAAGCCTCGTAAACTCGCCACCGCGCTGCCCATCGCGAGTGCGATGGGACCTCCAGTGCCGCCTCGCCTCGGCACCGGCGTATCGCCGCCGCATCGCCGCCACGCCGCCTGGCCGCCATTACGCCGTCAGACCGGAGCCGCGCCCCATCAGCGAGTCATCGTCGCCGCAAGGCCGCCTCCCCGCCTCGCCTCCTCGTCGGCGCGTCGTCGCCGCATCGTCGCCGCGTTGTCCGCCGCCTGCCACATCGTCGCTTGCCGCATCGCACCCTCGTCGCCGCCTCGTCGCCGCCTGCCGCATCGCCGCCTCATCTCCCTCGCCTCCACCGCCGCCAAAGCCGGGGACAGGGACGAACCTGCTGGTTACCCACACCCGCCACCTCCTAACTACTCTGGTCCCTCCCCAGCCCCTCTACCAGTCAACCCTCCCTCACCCTCTCTCCCGTCCTTCAATCCCCGTCAATCTCCCGCCCCCCTGTCTCCCTCAATTCCCCCTCCAACCCCATCAGTCCCGTCCCTCATTCCCTCCAATTCTCCCTTCTCTTCCCTCCAGGTCCCCACTATTTGCTCTCCATCTCCGACCATGCGTGCCTTCATTTCCCCCACTGCTACCCCTCTCTTCCCCCCCTGCTACCCCTCTCTTCCCCCCCTGCTACCCCTCTCTACCCCCACTGCTACCCCTCTCTTCCCCCCCTGCTACCCCTCTCTACCCCCACTGCTACCCCTCTCTACCCCCCCTGCTACCCCTCTCTTCCCCCCCTGCGTCCGCTCCCTTTCTCCCCTCTAGCTTGTCCTCAGTTTTGCCATTGCCTTTAGTCAATTTCCCCCCCTGCTACCCCTCTCTACCCCCACTTTTGTAACCCATTCCCGTCCCTCCCCCTCCATTCGCGCCGTATCTCCGCGCATCCACCCTTCCCAGATTCCATCCCTACTTCTTGCTCTGTCCTCCCTTCCCATCTCCCTCCCCCCTTCCCATCCATACTCCCCACTACGCATTGTGCAGGGTGAAGCCGTGTCTTTTGAAGTCGGGCGGCGCAGAGTGTGTGGCACCACACAAACTCTCCTCCCACACTGCTCGCTCCCCTTTCTCCCCTTGTGCCCCATCTCTCTCCCCCCTCCTCCCCCCACCTTATCTTGGCTCGCTCTTGCCTTAGGAGGCGTGTCTACCCAAGCCCCAGGAACTACTGACAGTGAAACCACCAGCGCGATGGTGGGCTTCGGAAGGAGGTAAGTTCTCTTCATGTCCCCAGGGACTTCCAATACCACCACAACGCGGGAAACCCGCCCTCCATACCAGAAGTCCTGGTAGAGTTCCTACCTCATATCATCCCTTAGGAGCCAGCACTCCGTCCTTCCTCCGCTCTCTCAACCCATCCGACCCACAATCGTCTCTACCTCACCTCTCTCATAACCGTCCTCCCCACAACCATCCCTTCCTTCCCAACACACTGCCCGTGTCTCGTCCAGACCACCCTTCTCTCCCCCATCGTCCGTTCTTCTCCTCTGTCTGCTCCGACAACCCAACCTCCTTCCACGCTCCAGCCCTTACTCCCCCACGGGCCACCCTGTTTCCCTCGCTACTCTCTCCTGTAACGTCACCTCCCTGCCACCTTCACTTCGCCAAAAACCCCCCTCCCTCCCCCCCCCCTCCCCCTCCCCCCCCTCTTCAGGACATCGACAACAACTCCTATCCCCTGAAGTTGACGCCCAACCGTATGACGGCGGTGCGGACCTTCTTGCCCGGGTCCAAGCAGTCACAGAGTCTAGAAGCCCGGCCTAGACAGAATTCAGTTCAATGAGCCATCTCCCTATTATAGCCGGTGCAATGATCTTGCAACATGACGGACCACCCGGTTGGTGTAGAAAGGGACAAGATAATACTAACTTGGCCTTGTGGGGAAGGCCGCCCCCTAATGTGTTCAATGACAAGGAGAAACGTGTCTGGTGCAAGGCACTGATGCTAGTGATTTTGCAGGTACATTTTTACACCACTGTCAGAATCCCAACCACTAGACCATTGGGATAAACGGGCTTGTTAAGTAGCGGGTCAGTGCGCCCATAACCCCCCAGGACAACGAGCCTGTAACCCTTTCCTAGGATCAATCGGGGATCACCAGTGGACCTCTGACACCCCCCCGCACTGGGATGCCCGAAGTGCACACACTGGGATTCGAACCCGAGACTTTCGCTCTGATACCATGTCAGAATCCCAACCACTAGACCATTGGGATAAAAGGGCTTGTTAAGTAGCGGGTCAGTGCGCCCATAACCCCCCAGGACAAGTAGCCTGTAACCCTTCCCTAGGATCAATCGGGGATCACCAGTGGACCTCTGACAACCACCTATGCATAGAGACCCCTAACAGGCCCATGCTCACTGCTGAAATGAATAGTGAACTTTTATTACAATAGCAAACCGTCCTACTACCACCGAGTGTTCGTGGCAAACGGCCCAGTCCTCCTGTTCGCAAAGGATATGAATGGCAGTCACTGATTGCTCTTCGCCGGCGCCTCAATGTGTGGTGGGCAGGTAAATGCTTGTCGTGGGCCGCAAGGCACAGGTGCGGCCGAGTGCACGGCAGATTGGCGCAGTGACCCAAACACGGTAGGTCAAAGAGAGGGCACGGGTGGTGAGGATGGGGAGGATAGAGTGAGCATGGGAAAATTGGGGTACTAACGACAGCGTGAGGGAGTGGGCAGGGTACAAAGAAGGCAGGGTGTGTCCGTGAGCAAAGGACAGATAGGGAAAGGTGACGTTTGCACGTGCACCAACCCCAGCATCGCCTCCCTCAGCCGCCGCGCGCTCTGCTGGCCCGCCCATTGCTGCACCTCCCTCCGGGAACCGTCCACCTGCCATCCGTCACAATCCACGCCCCTCCCTCTGCCCCATTTCCCTCAGCCGGCCCTTCATGTCTTGCCGCACCCTCCACTGCACCACTATTCGCCTGCCAGAGAGAGGAGAGGGAGGGTATGGAGTTTGAAAGAGAGAATGGTCATAGGGAGAAAGTGATTTAGGCGCGAGGGGACAGTCGACAGCGTAGCGCGAGAGGGCAAGGGGGGGAGCGTGGAGGTAGCTGCGTGAGAGGGCACAGGGAGCGAGAGGGGGAAGAAGGGTGTAGACAAGTGAGGGAAGTGAGAAAGCAGGGAGTATGGCAGGGAGTGAAGTTACGGGGGGGAAAACCGGGTGTAAGGAAGCGAGAGAACCGGGGGAAGAAGGGGGAAAGGCAGAAAAGGGAAAGGGGGTAGTTAAGGTGTAGAAAGGGAGGAAAAGGGGGGAGAGGGGAAGATCGGGGGTAAGGCCGAGAGGGGATAGGGGGAATAAGTGTGGATGGCAGAGAGAGGATAGGGGTAAGAGGAATGTGTAGTACAGAGAGGGGACACCGGGAAGATAAGGGTGGGCAGCGAGGGAAAAGGGAGAAGAAGGGAGTGGGGGAGTGCGGGTAGCGTAAGAGAGCATGGAGGTAGTTGCGACAGGGGGAGAGGGGGAAAAAGGGGGTAGGGAAGTGAGGGTAGTGGGGGAAGCAGGGTGAATGGCAGAGAACGAAAGGGAGAAGAAGGAGGATAGGGAGATGGGGGAAGGGGGAATGAGCAGGAGTGAGGCACAGTGGCGTAAGGGCTAAAAGAACGTGTGAGGCAGAGACGGGACAGTGGGTAGAAGGGAGTAAGGAAGAGGGTATAGGGAGGAGAGGGGAAAGGGGAAAGCAGGGCGTAAGGCTGTGGAGGCATGATGTGGGAAGCAGGGGGAAAGGAAGAGTGGGGAATGGGGCAGAGAGGATCTTTGGAAGACAGGGTAGAAGGGGGCGCAGGGTGTTAGGAAGAGAGGGGGAAGGGGGAAGCATTGAGTAAGGCGGGGAAGAGAGCAGGGACGAGAAGGAGGGGAGGCAGGGAGGAGAAGGAGGGGAAGCAGGGAGGAGAAGGAGGGGAAGAAGGGAGGAGAAGGAGGGGAAGCAGGGAGGAGAAGGAGGGGAAGCAGGGAGGAGAAGGAGGGGAAGCAGGGAGGAGAAGGAGGGGAAGCAGGGAGGAGAAGGAGGGGAAGCAGGGAGGAGAAGGAGGGGAAGCAGGGAGGAGAAGGAGGGGAAGCAGGGAGGAGAAGGAGGGGAGGCAGGGAGGAGAAGGAGGGGAGGGCGCATGGGCGACGGGAGGAAGTGAGCGTGGGCGACGGAGGGTGGTGAACGTGTGAGATGGAGGGCAGTGCAAGAAGGAGACGAGAGGGGAGTGATCGTGGGCGACGGGTGTGTGTGAGCGCGGGCGACAGAGGGGAGTGAGCGCCCGCGATGGAGGGGAGTGCGCGAAGGCGACGGGAGGGGAGTGCGCGAAGGTGACGGGAGGGGAGTGCGCGAAGGCGACGGGAGGGGAGTGCGCGAAGGCGACGGGAGGGGAGTGCGCGAAGGCGACGGGAGGGGAGTGCGCGAAGGCGACAGGAGGGAGTAAGCGTGGGCGATGGAGGGGAGTGATGACGGAGGATATCACTATTCCATCGTCACGTCGCGGCATAAGGCGGAGTCGAGGAGCGATAGGAGCTTCCTTCCGTTAGTACGTTGCATTTTTGCGATGCAGGGCATTCTGCAACCCAAAGTCAAAGACGACGTTCCCACTGGAGGCGTGGTGTACGGACCTGCTTCGCGCGGAGTGAGCTGCGTCGGCTTATGCTGTGCGCGAAATGTGTGCGCGGTAGTCCCTCCGCCTGTTTGCCAAGGTGCGGTCTGCGTGCGCCGTCGCCCCAAAATGCGCGCTAAAGTCGCAATGCGATGTATGACAAGCGGAAGCGCCTAAGTGCGAGCGAGATGAGCGGTATTCGGGCGCGATGAAAGCGATGGGCGGGCGCAGTAGCTACGTTATGACGATGCTGTCTAGTTTATCGTCAGAACGACCAAGTGGAGAATGTGTGTGTTGTGGTACAAGAGTCATGCGCGTCATGGTTCAGAAACTGCCGGGTGTGACTCCAAGTTCCCAACTCTGAGTTGGCCCGTCGCAATTGACGACGGGGGAGAGACAACCCGCGCAAGTCCGCCTACACTAAAAGTGGGGTTCACTCAGACTCCCAACACAAATAGGGTAACCACGTGGAGGCAAGTGATAAACCTTTGCCTCCACCCCCCCGAAAGTGCACCCTTGCTTTAAAAGCCCAACCACGTGCTGCCAGCCCAGCGGCGCAAGAGCCATCCGATGTCATGCGACGGAATTTCACCTGCATGGTACCTGATTAAAGCGACGGTGCACATTTGCCACCCAAAACCCAGAACCCTGGCGAACTGTTACTGCGGATGGAAAGTGTCCGCACGAAATCCTGGTTTTCGCCAGCCAGCACTTTCGCGCTGGCAAGCCTGGTTCAAAAAAAAAACTTCTGAACCCAACACTGCCAAAAGTTGCCCGTCACTTTAACGGCTGCCTTGACTCAAGTCGCGACACCTGAGGCGATAGGCTCTGCTTGAGCCGCAGCGACACCGTATTGCATCCGAGCAATTCCGCGTCGTCGTTGGCTCGCGATCATGACCGTTCAAGCCCGCTCCGCCGCCGTGTCGCTTCGACATCGTGAACGCGGCCTGAACCCTTCACTTCCCTTTTCCTCCTGATTCTCTCCTTTTCCTCAGTGAGCGATGAGAGAGATGCCACATCAAGTCCTCTTCAACACACCCTCTTATTCCTCATCACACGCTCTTATTCCTCATCACACGCTCTTATTCCTCATCACACGCTCTTATTCCTCATCACACGCTCTTATTCCTCATCACATGTAATGCCCAGGGCTATTATAATGGCGGTTACAAGGCTTTTATAATATTCCAATACAAAATAGTAGCTTTAACTAGCCTTAATAGCCTTGGAGATGAAGACCTTCTTGATGCCTTTGATGAAAAGCACTTGGAGTAGTAGTGTAGGGAGACTTGTGAGAGAGCCCAAAAGGACTTAGAGAAACAATCCCATTTCCAATTGTTTTGTTGGAGTGGGAGGTTGAGAATGAGCTTGCTTAGCTCAGACCCCCTCAATACACCCCTTGGGGAACTATCCCAACCATGGTTTCCATGGTGGGATGGTTCCTAGGCTTGGAGCCTATGTGGCAATTGTGTTGGGTTGGAAAACCCAACTTAGAACCATTCAATGGTTGTGTTTAGGATAGAGTAGATTGTAACACTTGTTTGGCAGTTTCTGATTGGTTGGAATTCCAACCTTCAACATTCTCTTGGTTGAGTTGGAAATGTTCCAAACCTCCAAAGTTGAGGCTTGGCAAACCCAAACCAAGTTTCATCCCAACCAACTCAACCATCTTCTCCAACTCTTCCTTTGTCGAGAGAAGTTCTCAACAATTGACTTAGAGAGAGATCGATGGTTGTTAGCTCGGTAGTTAGGGTAATACGTTACATCACACGCTCTTATTCCTCATCACACGCTCTTAGTCCTCCAGTTCCGCCATATTCAATGTCTCTCTCCCTACGTCAGAGCGTGGACGTGGTTGATCTGCTGCCCGGCCCCATCTGGCACATCATCTTTCGCCACCTGCTGCAGCCACCAGCCAATTCCGCTCAGCTGCAGAAACGGGGAGAATTGTCTTATGTGTCGCATCCGGGAGAGAACAGCAGTGCGTGTGCCACAACCAGTCCCCTTTCTGCCAGATAGCAGCATGAGGAGAACACGAGGAGCTTCGGCTCCTCCTGGCCTCTGCTGCGCTGTGCCATGGCGAGCAAGAGGCTCCTTGGCCATATCATCTCTTTCTCCGTGAGTAAAGTGCTGGTTCGTTCATGGCATGGTGCGTTCTGCTATAGATTCTGAACCGTCACTGCCAAGGACTCCTCTCATCTGTGTGTGCAGGAGTACGAGCCTATCTCCCTCGTGTACAACAATCAGGAGCCCCAGTGGGTAGAGATGCTTTCCTGGTTCCTTAGATTGCCACGTCACAAGTCCCTTGACCTCCTTTTCAACAGATTGACGGACCTGCAGAGCCTTGGCCGGCTGATGGCATCCTCTGCTGACTCCCTCACAAGCTTGTGCCTTAAGTTCAAACATCCTTCATACAATTTTGATTCGATTCAGCAGAAGCAGACCTATTCCTCATTTTTCGAAATGTTTGGGCATCTGCAGCGGCTGAAGCTAGGCTGTGGGAGGTGGAAGCTAGGCGGGAGGTGGAAGCTAGGCAACCTGAATGCTGCCTGGTTCAGAGCTCTGAAGAGTCTGAGCATCGACGATTTGGACTGCAACAGAAGCGATATTTCCTTTCTGTCATCCATCTCACCGCAGCTGCATGAGTTATCTCTCTCTTCCTCAAGTCATGGCTACTGCAACCTCAGACTTGAGTTCACAGTTGCTCAAGTGATTACAATCAGTTTTGAACAGCAATTGCTCAAGGTTCGCTTCTCCCTCCCTCCCACTTTGAAGTCGTTTTCTGTCACAGCAGAGGTGCTCCAAGTTGACTGCAAATGCGCCAGCCCTCTCTCTCTCGACTTTCTCTCCCTGGTTGGTGACTCCCACCTTGTCGTTTCTTCACTCCCATTGGCTTCAGCCAAAACTGTCTATTTGAATGGACCAACCACGGAAAATCAGCCCAGCTCGCCAAGGGATACACTTCCCTATATTGCTCCTGTCTCGCAACGTTCTTTGGTTGTCTCTCAACTTTCCTTAACCCAACTGCTCAGCAGCATAGCGCCAACAGTTGAGAAACTGATCGTGAGGCATGGCTTGCAGCTAGAGAACGTGGCTGCAGAGTGGAGCCGCCTGCGCAGCCTTGCCATTGGTGCAAACGGCATGAGCGCTGATGGGGTCGGGTTCTTGACTAAAGTTGAGGAAACGGAACATCCGTTTTTTCTAGGGGAATTCCCTGGGGAAGGAGGGAGCAGCAGCAGCCGCAGTAGCAGCAATGCGCATGAATCAATAAGCCCTCCGATCATCATTGCTCCAAAGCTGAAGTATATTTTCCTTGCGACTCGGCAGTGGGATCCCGAGACATTAGTTTCTCTGCGCAATGATTTCCCATCCCTGGCTGTGTACAGCATTGTTGGTCGGTCTTTCACCTTGTAGGGGGAGAGGGGTTGAGTAGAGAAATAGGGCCATGTCTTAATAGCAGTGGAGATGCTTATAGTGAGGCATGGCTGGCCGCTAGAGAGTGTGGATGCGGAGTGGAGCCGCTTACACTGCCTTGCAGTTGGTGTGAATGAAGGCCAGGAGAAGCAACGGTGGGGTTAAACATGATTTTGTTCACCGGAGGGGCACCAGCAGTGAGCACAATAGCAAGTATGTCCCCTTATATCAATGCTTCACAGCTGCATTTAAACTTATTTGCCACCATTGACACTGGCACCCTGGTTTTTCTGCGCCAGCAGTTCTCTTCTCTGGCGCTCTACTGCATTCCTTGCCGGTCGTATCGCTGGGAGGGGGGAGGGGAGAACTGGAGCATCGCGGTAATGCAAGTGAGGGAAGGCCATGCTTTCGTCACCATGAGCCAGGACATGGTCCATGATGATCGGATCACGCGGTTCCTTCTATCGGACTGAGAGAAAGCTCGGGTGTATGTCTTTAACAGCGGTTCCCAACATTTCTGTAATCCCCCAGATAGACACCCGTAGGGGCTCTTTCTTCTTTTCACGGGGCTTATGGAGCGTACCCTAAACCTTGTGTATTACTATAATGAATCAATACAAAATAGATGGGCCGTATCATCTGAAAGGACCTGATCACCTCATTGGCCTTTGTTTGAAATCCAACCGACACCGAGACGGTGAGAGTGCGAATAAAACACAGCAATTGTTAGAGAATTTCGTTTCCTATGTTTGAATGATTAACGTGTAGCTTACAGTAGTTTCAAAAGTTTACCAACGAAGTTGCGTTAGCGAGAATTGGGACACCGTCAAACAGATAAGGGTACATTCCGCCGTGGACAGTGTCCAGCGCGGAATGTACCCTAAGACTCTAGGCTCGAGCGACTCCCCAATCCGATGCAGCCAAGTACATAGTATTCATCTGAAAAGCTCTAACAAGCAAAGTCAGGTGGGAAGATGGGAGAGCAGGCATGGCTGTCGTGCAAGGCCGAGCAGCCGTGCCTCCAGATCTTCCTTCCTGCCTTGTGATTCGACTCGAATGTCGTGCAAGGCCGAGTAGCAGTGCTCCCAGATCTTCCTTCCTGCTGGTGGTTCGTGAATCGTGACTACATAGCCATGAGCTACCAGTACATGTGTCATGCTGCTACATGTCAGCCATGAGAAACCACCGCCAGCCACTAGTAGCGACTCTAGTCTGGTCTGGTTACATCCACGCCAACGTGATAGACATTATTCCACCATCATACCTCCACCATGCCATCTGCATCATGCGACCTGCTTAGCGACCGACTGCCATCATGATAGCTGAGTAGATAACGCTTTCCCTGCTTCAGTCGCGGCACCACCTGGAGGCGTAGTGCATCCGTCCGACTCCCCAGTCGCGGTTGCTTCGCTTTCACGAGCATTCGCTCCCGTTCCGGCGTGTCGCTTGGTAGCTTCTTTCAACAAAATATTCTTCGCTGTTAGTGGCCCTTCTAGGAAACTTGTACACGCCGTCCTCAGTCTCCGCCGGCTTTTGAGGCGCCTGAGACGCCTTTTCTAGTTCGCGAGGTTTTTTTAGGCGCCTCAAAAGTCCTTATAGAGAATTTGTGCACTTCTTCCTCAGTCTCCGCCGGCGATGGCGATCCGAGAGGATGAGGGTATAGAGGATGGATGCCCTCGAGTTGATAGAGGAACCCTCTCTGATGCGTATGATCAGGTGAGAGGGGTGAGAGAGAAGAGAGGAATGAGACAATGTAAGAGAAACGAGGGGAACGAGAGGGCCGAGAGTGATAAGAGGAACGAGGGGAAGGAGAAGGATTAGAGGGATGAGAGGGATGAGAAGGATGGGAATGATGGGACGGATGGGATAGATGAGACGGTTGAGAGGGATGAGAGGGGTGAGAGGGATGAGAGGGATGAGAGGGATGAGAGGGATGAGATGGATGAGAGGGATGAGAGGGTTGAAAAGGGTGGGAAATGAGAGTGGGTGCTGCAGACAGGGCATTCAATCTGGTCATTACCTCCCTAGTTCCCCCTCCGTTCTTCTCACAGATCCCTCATCCCTCCTCTCCTCCTCTCATCTCCCTCATCCCTCCTCTCCTCCTCTCATCTCCCTCATCCCTCCTCTCCTCCTCTCATCTCCCTAATCCCTCCTCTCCTCCTCTCATCTCCCTCATCCCTCCTCTCCTCCTCTCATCTCCCTAATCCCTCCTCTCCTCCTCTCATCTCCCTCATCCCTCCTCTCCTCCTCTCATCTCCCTCATCCCTCCTCTCCTCCTCTCATCTCCCTCATCCCTCCTCTCCTCCTCTCATCTCCCTCATCCCTCCTCTCCTCCTCTCATCTCCCTCATCCCTTCTCTCCTCCTCTCATCTCCCTCATCCCTCCTCTCCTCCTCTCATCTCCCTCATCCCTCCTCTCCTCCCCTCATCTCCCTAATCCCTCCTCTCCTCCTCTCATCTCCCTCATCCCTCCTCTCCTCCTCTCATCTCCCTCATCCCTCCTCTCCTCCTCTCATCTCCCTCATCCCTCCTCTCCTCCTCTCATCTCCCTAATCCCTCCTCTCCTCCTCTCATCTCCCTCATCCCTCCTCTCCTCCTCTCATCTCCCTCATCCCTCCTCTCCTCCTCTCATCTCCCTCATCCCTCCTCTCCTCCTCTCATCTCCCTCATCCCTCCTCTCCCCCTCTCATCTCCCTCATCCCTCCTCTCCTCCTCTCATCTCCCTCATCCCTCCTCTCCTCCTCTCATCTCCCTCATCCCTCCTCTCCTCCTCTCATCTCCCTCATCCCTCCTCTCCTCCTCTCATCACCCTAATCTCACCTCTCCCGCTCTTCACCTCATCGCCAGTGCTTCGCGCGCCCCACCCATCAGAGCTCAAAAGCCCACCTGCACTTCCACACCTTGCCTGACCTGGACAGCTTCAGCGGCACAATGCTAGCCACTGTGATTTTTCGAGAATTCTCACCTCTCCCGCTCTTCACTTCATCTCCGGTGCTTCTCTCTCCCCACCCTATGATGGATTTGACGCCCCAAACAGAAAACGTCAAGCGTCAAAACGCCACGCTTTGACGTTTGACGCGTCAAAGCGTTTTGACGCTTGACGCTACCCCTAAAAATTTATGGGCAGCCCGATTTCGAAAAATAAAAAAAGTCAAAAAAACTAGAAATCGAATTTCCAGCCCCAAAACGCGACCACCCCAACTGAATTCGACATTGTGGGGCCCCAAAACAGGGCCCAACCAAACCAACACCCAAACCATCCACCACCCCTTTGAAACTACTCAACCAAACCAAACCCATCCCCTACAACTTCACCACAATTCTCCTTTGGAAACCCCATTGTAGGGTTTCCAACCTGCTACTCGTTTTTATACCTCTCTTTCTCTACTAGCTACTTCTAGTCCTACTAGCACCACCCAACGTCCCCATGGCTGAAAATTCGAATAGTACCCCACCAGATGTTAGTGAACCAGGATCCAATGTCGACTCTGCACCCAAGCCTAAGTATTTGGATACCAAAGCCCACCCAATTTACAAGCATTACCTCGTTTACAAGAACCCGAAAGGTGTAGGAGAGAATCGTGCTCAATGCACGTATTGCTCACACACATTCGCGCAGTCGACCACACGATGCTCCGCTCACCTTGCCAAGTGGGAGGGCCAAGGGAAGACTGGCGTGGAGAGGTGTGACAAGGCGCCTGATGAGGCGTTTGAGCAGATTAGGGAGTTGTACGAAGCGAAGGGGACGGCAAAGGCGGATAAGAGGAGTGCGGAGGTGGATGCCATTGCTGCAGTTAGTAGTGCACCATGGAAAAAGGGGAAGATTAGTGACTTCTTCAACACTGACGCTAAGGAAGCCAAGAAGCAAGCGGACGAGGCAATCTGCCTCTTCTTTGCAGGCTGTCACGCCCCCGAGCAGCAGGCAGACCATCCGCTATTCCGCAACATGCTCCGTGCGGTGGGGGCGGCGGGCAGCGGTTACGTCCCCCCCGGGCGCAGGTATATCGGAGGCGCCGGCCTGCAGGGATGCCGCAAGCGCATTGAGGATGCGTTGACGCCGATCAAGGACAGTTGGAAGAAGACGGGGGTGACGGTTGCGAATGATATGATGACGGATCGGGCTGGCCGTGCGCAAGCGAACGTGCTGTTGGTTAACGACACGGGCGCCGCGTTCGTGGAGTTGACTGCGGGATGGAGTCCAAGACGGGAGGGTACATCGCCGGGTTTCTGAGGCCGATTATAGAGAAGGTGGGGCCTCAGAATGTCGTGGCGTTCTGCTTTGATGGGGGGAGTAACTATGCAGCGGCGGTTAGGGAGCTGTTGGAGGAGTGGCCTCACATTGAACACGTTCCTTGCGCCACACATGTGATGGACCTCATGATGGAGGATATTGGGAAAATGGCATGGTCGAAAAAGTTGGTTGACAGGGCGGATGAGATGATAAGGTTTGTGAGGAGGCACCACATGACCCGCGCGTTCTTGGGAGACACTAAGGAGCATGGGCAGCGGGCGTTGCAAGCCCTTAAGCCTGCTGGCACGCGATTTGGTACTCAATACATTGCCTTGGAGCGATTATGCGAGTTGCAGCAGACCTTGACCTTGCTGGTGACGGGGAAAAGGTGGGAGAAGTGGGCGGTAGGGGACAGGAAGGCGAATGCGGAGGTGTTTAACGGCTATGTCTTGGACCTGGCCTGGTGGAAGGGGGCTGCCTTCTTTGTGAAGCTCATGAAGGTACCCTTCATGGTGATGAGAAACACAGATTCTAGTGCACAGGGTATGATGGGCCGCTTGTACGATATGATGCTGCAGCTTATAGAGGATGTGGAAGGGGTTTTGGATGCCGATGAAGAGCAGCTGAACAGGACAGAGAAGCTGCGGATTTCGCGCATCGTCAAGCAGCGCTGGGACAAGAGCATGGCTTGCGCAATGCATGTGGCTGGCCGGATTCTTAACCCGGCCAACCAGGACGAGGAGATTTTTGGGGAGGACATTGAATGCACAAAGGTGTTCAAGGAATTCATTGAGCGCGCTGCTGGATACTTCGAGAGGTACAGGGGAGGGGTGGGTGGCTCGGGAGGGAGGCCTTTCGACATGGAGGAGGCAGTGATGGCATACCTGAACGGGACGGGGAGCTTTGGCAGTCGCTCGGCGAGGTTGGCGCGTGAGGAGGTGAAGGCTGGGAAGAAGAGCACGGTTCTTTGGTGGCAGTGGCACGGGGGAGACTACCCCGAGCTCAAGCGCCTTGCTATCCGTGTGCTCTCCCAGCCCGTTTCCGCCTCATCCTGCGAGCAAAGCTGGGCAGTGTGGGAGTCGGTGCACACCGCTAGGCGCAACCGGCTCGGCTCGGAGAAGTGCCGAGACCTGGTTTTTGTGGCGCACAACTGGAATGTTGTGCATAAGTACCACAAGGGCCCGGCTGAGGGGACAGGGGTGGTCGCGGGGAACATTCCCGAGCCCCCTATCCCCGATGGGTACATTGTTCACGAGGGCGAGGTGGAGGAGGAGGCTGACGACATGGAGAACAAGGTGCTGGTGGATGAGTACGTGCCCTAGTTTGGGCACGTACTCCTTGTGGGTGAAGGTGTTGATGGACGTGCTATGTATTTGATGGAGAACGACTCTGAACTTTGATGTATGCATGTTCTTATTTATGAAGACATTTTTTTCCATAACTGCCCCATATGTCCTACAACTCCTGCCCCCCCCCCCCCCCTCCCCCCCCAACCTCTCTTACTAACCCCTCTGTTCCCAGTTTTTTTACCCCTGCCCGGGAAAAGTTTTTTGCCTGCCCGCCAGAGCGTCAAACTGGGGGTACCCCTCGGACAAGGGGCGTCAATAGCGTCAAAACGCTAGCGTTTTGACTCAGCGTCAAAACGCTGGGCGCGTCAAATCCATCATAGTCCCCACCCATAAGAGCATGGAAGCCCATCTGCATTTCCACACCGTGGCGGACCTGCACAGCTTCGGCAACACCATGAGAGCCTCTGGCCGCTCCCTCGCCTCCCTTCGCCTGGGGCCCACTCCCAGGGATGCATCCCACTGGGAAGACCCGTATGGGCATGCCCAGGAACAGCAGCAGCAGCAGCAGCAGCAGCATGAGGAGCAGCACGGCCATGCAGAGCAGCAGCGGCATGCAGCAGAGCAGCACGAGCGCATCTCCCCGGTGTTTCTCCAGCACTGCCCGTGGCTGCAGCAGCTGCACCTGGAGCGTGCCAACTGGAACCTCAGCAGCCTCCATCCCTCGTGGTTCAAAGCCTTAAGGACCCTCACCATCCACCATTCCCACTGCACCGCCTCGGATTTCGAGTTTCTGGCCCATATCACGCCGCAGCTGCACGAACTCTCCCTCTACGTGTTGAATCAGTGACAGAGTCCGTGCTCCCTCAACTTTGCCTTCTCCGCTGCTCAATCCATACATCTCGTTTTGGACCAGCATAGAGTGCAGATCACGCTCTCTCTCCCTGCCTCTCTCAACTCCCTGTCTGTTTCAGCGGAATCCCTCGACCTTGACTCTCCCTCGATTTCCTCATGCTGATTGGTCGCAAGCGCCTCGTGGTGGCATCGCTCCCCGTCGCATCGGCCAAAGACGTTTACCTGAACGCACCAAGCATGCAAGAGGAGTCAGTCAATCCTCTCGCCAACCCCCCTCACTCCCTCAGCAACCCCTCTCACTCACCTCAGATTTCTTCAAATCAGCCTTCCATCTCCCGGGAGCTTTACTCTCCATCCATCTCTGAATCCTCCTTGATCCACGTGCTGCAATCAGTAGCGCCAACAGTGGAGGCACTGATGGTGCCGCACTCGCTGCCGATAGAGTCAGTGGAGGGCGAGTGGAGTGAGCTGCACCGCCTTGCAATCGGTGTGCGTGGGAGCAAGGCGGGTGCGGGGAGGTGCAAGACGACAGTGGAGGCAGCAGAGGCTCGTGCGGGCGGCATCAGCCGTTTGTACCTAGCACGAGCCTCAGATGCTTCTTCCACGAGGAGAAATGGTGGCGGGGAAGGAGGAGACAGAGGCAGCGGCAGTGGTGATGGTCACGGGGGCAGCGGCGGCAGCAACTGCAGCAGTAGCAGCAGCAGCAGCAGCAGCAGGCGTGGAAGGAAGCGTGAAGCGCCAAGGCCTCCGTGCATCAATGCTCGAGCGCTGCGGTCTCTCCTTTTCGCCACGCGCCGGTGCAACCCCGGTACTCTTGTATCTCTGCAAGAGGACTTCCCCTCGTTGGAGATCTACTGCATTGTTGGCAGGTCGTTCTGCTGGAAGCCCGTTGGGAGCGAGCGGCTCAATCAGCCCATCATGTGTGTGAGTGCGCATCGGTCCGCTTCAAATGTTCAGCGCTTGGAGACAACGGAAGGATCGAGTGGCGAGATAAATGTGGGCGACTTTATGGATGGCCTTCAGTGCCTCTGAGCACTTGCAAGCAACAAAGGGACGTTTGCGTGAATTTTGAAAGCACGCAAATTGTGTGTCCTCATAGAAGCAGCAGAGACAGCTATAGCAGTAGCCAGGACAGATATAGCAGTAGCAGGAACAGATTGGTTAAGGTCCTTCGAGTACCTTGAATCTGGTACATATGGTATGTGACTCTGTATCAACTGTGTCAATAAAGAGCTGATGAGGATGCTGGTGCTCTTGGTCTGCTTCTATTGCTTTCATGTGTTGCTTGCCTGTACTTCCGTGCACACAACCCAACCCAAGATGCTTCGCATAATCTTGAGGCAATTTATTACGAGATAAGGACAATGTATGATACAAAGCCATCAGAATCAAACCAAAATTAAATTAAACATCATATATTTATTTCAGAACATTGCTTTGCTATTAATTCCACATCTTCCTACTACAAAATGTAACAAAAGCACTAAACAAACATGTATGACATGGAGAGAACATTTCGTTCATTTACAGCAATATCAATTATTCATTGGAATTCAGTGCCTGCGTTTCGAAGCCCAAACTCCTGGGAGCGTACAGCTTGATGATTGGCTCGCAAAATACGAGGCTGTCTCCAAGCCTCTACCAAGCCGAAGGCTTACCTCCGTGCCTCGTTTGGCCCTCTGTTGTTTTCCTTCCGACTCGACCATCGACGATAGCGAAAACGTTCGCCTAGAATTTGCTAGTTTTCGCTAGGGTGGTGTCAGGGTTGGAAAACGATAGGCGAGCGGAAATCCTGTCACCAGCGTAACCCTCTCCTCTCACTGCACGAGTTTTCCCTCCGTGGAAACCCACCCGTGCTGGCTTTGTGCAGCCCAAGAATCATCAGACGTTGCTAATAGATGAGGTGACGGAGAGAAATAATGCTCTCAATCATACGATACCCTCTGATGCCGAGAAGCTCCACGAGGTGAGATGCCGCAGCGAGTGAGGCACGACGTCGAAAACTTTGCGACAGTCAAGCATTAGACCGCGATTCCCAACGGTTTTTTTCATCACAATTTTCTCAAGAAGACAGAGAGGTTTGAGGTATCCTCTCTTTCTATTGCCTTATCTTCTTTACTTTTTACCCACTCCCAGAGAGAGGATGTGGTTGATTTGCTGCCCGGCCCCATCTGGCACATCATCTTCCGCCACCTACTGGCGCATCATTCTCCGGAGAATCGGGGTGATTCCTCGGCTCCATCGCAGCAACGAGCAGGCAGCACCTCGAACGCCACTGCCCTTCCGTTTCCTGCCATCACGGAGCAGCATGCGAAGGCATTGAGGCGCTTTGGCCCCTCCTGGCCTCTGCTGCGCTACGCCGTGGCCAGCAAGAGGCTCCTCCTCCATGCCATCTCCTTCTCCGTGAGTCATCATCATGTGATGCTTCCCTTCCCTCATTCCACCGTACAACCTTCTTTTATACAACTCATCTCAGAAAATGGTAAATTCTGCTCTCTGGGTAGCTGAGTGTACGGTCACGGATAAGCTCCTCTGCCATCTCTGTGTCCATCTCTGTGTCCTTGGCTGTGTCCTTCGCTGAGTCCTTGGCTGTGTCCATCGCTGTGTCCTTCGCTGTGTCCTTCGCTGTGTGTGAGCAGGAGCTCGAGTCCATGACCCTCCTATTCAACGCTCAAGACCCCTGGTGGTCAGGCATGCTCTATTTCTTCCTGCGTCGCACACCTCACACGTCCCTTGATCTCACTCTCAACAGCTCCCAAGATCTGGACAGCATCGGCCGTCTCTTGCAACCCTCTGCACGCTCCCTCACAAGCCTGGGCCTTGGGCTCACGGAACCTCCCGGCGGAGTCGAGCCTATCATCAAGGAGAGGCACCTGATGAATCCGGCCTTTCTTGAGGAGTTTGAGCAGCTGCAGCGGCTGAAGTTAGGTCGTGGGACGTGGCAACTAGGCGACCTGAATCCAGCAAAGTTCCAGGCTTTAAAGAGTCTGAGCATCCACGATTTCAATTGTGACGGGAATGATGTGTCCTTCCTCTCATCCGTCGCACCGCAGCTGCATGAACTCGCTCTCGCCTCCTCCAGCCATGGCTCTGGCTCGACCACCCTCGATTTCAAGCTCACCGCTGCTCGAGCTATCACAGTCTGCTTTGAGAAACAAGCGCTCCACCTCCGCTTCACCATGGCTCCCTCTTTGAAGTCCTTCTCGGCCACTGCTGCGTTTCTCAACGTGGATTGCACATGCGGCAGCCGCCTCTCTCTCGACTCGCTCTCTCTCATTGGCCGCTCGCAGCTTCTCGTAACTTCGCTCCCATTGGCCTCTGCAAAATCCGTCTACGTGAACGGACCAACCGTTTGAGAATATCGCTGGCGTGCGTTTCCCTGTTCCGACCTCGAATCTCAGCGTACCGTGACCCACCTGCTCAGCAGCATAGCGCCCACAGTGGAGACGCTTATAGTGAGGTACGGCTGGCCTCTGGAGGACGTGCGTGTGGAGTGGAGCCGCCTGCGTCGCCTTGCCATTGGTATGAATCGCTACAGCACTGGGGGGGTTAGTTACAAAGCTAAACCCGACGATCCGGAAGATTCTAATTTCTGGAGGTGCTTTGGTGGGGAAGAAGAGAGCAGCAGCGGCAGCAGCAGGAGCGGCAGCAGCAGGAGCGGCAGCAGCAGCCTGTTCATCAACGCTCCGAACCTGAAGTCTTTCTTTTATCATGCCTCTCACTACGAGTGTAAACCTGAACTTCTGGTTGCTCTGCGCCGGCAGTTCCCTTCTCTGGCATTGTTCAGCAGTGCTGCTGATAAAGGGTTTAGGCTTTAGGTTTTACAGTATAAGGTTTAGGGCAATGGTGAGACCATGGGGTGGTGAGACCATGGGGTGGTGAGACCATGGGGTGGTGTGGCCATGGGGTGGTGTGCACCTGTGTGATGCATGCACAGTGCCTATGGGTGCCATCATGTGGCACCGCACCGCCCTCCCTGCTGCTGATGGGGCTGCCTGCTGTTTGTTGTCTGCTGCTGCCAGGGCACAAAGCTGCTGCTCCACCAGCTGGGCACAGTAAAGCAGAGGTGGTGATCATGTTGGGTGGCTGAGCTAGTGCCGGTGTTGATGGGGCTGCCTGCTACCGTATTTGCTCTCTGCTGCTGTCAGGCCACAGGGCTGCTGCTCCACCAGCTGGGCACAGTAAAGCAGAGGAGTTACTGACGGCTGGTAGCTATGTATCTATTGATGTTTTGTTCCGATGTTTTGTATTTATGATTGTATTTGTTATTTGTATTTATGTCTTGTTTTTTTTTCATCCCATTTGTTTCGCATGTAATAGTGTTTTTCTACTCTGACTTTTTCGTCGGCGCATTCAATGCTTCTGTGTTCCAGATGTGTGTAGTGCAGATCTCACTCGCCTATGCAGTTCTCTGTAGAAAGGAAGGGAAGCAAGCACACATGTATGCTCGCTCGCCCCTTCGGTTGCTTCGCTAAAACCCACGATGGCAGGCAATCGGTACTGAAAGAAGACAGGGTTGTTGTACGCATGTTTGCAGTACAAGCACATTCGATATGGACGGCATGTGAAATCCAGTTTAGATTCATGCACAAGGGTCGAGACTAGAAACTGCATTCGCAGCGAGTTGTCAGCGCAGCCATGCTGCTGCTGGTGGTGGTAATGGTGGTGTTGTGCTGCTGCTGCTGCTGCTGCTGCTGCTGCTGCTGCTGCTGGCGATGGTGGTGTTGTGCTGTTGCTGCAGCTATAAAAGCTTCCGGAAAAGCATAGAGTGTCAAATTACATTTGTATGCTTCTAGGCTGTAGTGGGGCATACTCTAGTGAGTACAACCCTTTAGGGTTTCATACTTGTACTCATCCTGCTGCTCAATGCAATCATTCCTGCCTGCTGATTCTAACATGGTATTAGAGCAGAATCGTTCCTAGGGCCTACCGAACGTTCCGCCCTGCCCTACCCGTAAATTTTTTCTTCCTACGCTGCCGCTGCAGCCGCGCTGCCCTTGCAGCCCACGCGCTGCCCCTGCGACCGCGCTACCTCTGCAGCCGTGCTCGCCCCTGCGACCGCGCTGCCCCTGCAGCCGTGCTCGCCCCTGCGACCGCGCTGCCCCTGCAGCCGTGCTCGCCCCTGCGACCGCGCTGCACCTGCAGCCGTACTCGCCCCTGCGACCGTGCTGCCCCTGCAGTCGTGCCTGCCCCTGCGACCGTGCTGCCCCTGCAGCCGTGCCTGCCCCTGTGGCCCGCGTGCTGCCCCTGCAGCCCGCGCGTTCGCCCCTGCAGCCCGTGGGCGCTGCCTCTGCAGCCCGCGCGCCGCCCTGCCGAGCCGCGCGTTGCCCCTGCAGCCCGTGGGCGCTGCCCCTGCTGCCCACGCGCCGCCCTGCCGAGCCGAGCGTCGCCCCTGCAGCCTGGGCGCCGCCCTGCCGAGCCGCGCGCCGCCCCTACAGCCCGCACGCCGCCCTGCCGAGCCGCGCGTCGCCCCTGCAGCCCGTGGGCGCTGCCCCTGCAGCCCGCGCGCAACCGTAAACCCTAAAAAAAAAAAAAAAAAAAAAAAAAAAAAAAAAAAAAAAAAAACTACTGCTGCTGGGAGTGCTGGAGGTGCGGCCGCCCAGCCCCACTGAGCCGCCCTGCTGCTGCTACTACTACTGCTGCTGCTACTCGTGCTACTGCTGCTGCTGGTGGAGGTGCTGCTAGGAGAGTTGGAGGTGCTGCTGGTGCTGGAGGAGCTGGAGGTGCTGGACCTACTCCTGACCGTCACTGTCTGTCATGGCCACTATCGCGGCAGTTGCTGTGACCAGGGGTGGACGGCATCGGGCACTGCCTCTCCCGGACGACCCCACCCCTCAGCAGCTTCGTGAGTGGTTGGTTCAGCGAGGCAGTCTTGGTGGTGGAGGATTTGGTTTTATGTGGCCTAAGCGACCTCGCGACTGTGCTTCTCAGCGATGCGTCCCTGGCTGTGTCGAGGTTACTGCTCTCGGTTCTAGTGAGTCTGCTGCCGCTCCAGGTGCTAGTGAGTCTGCTGCCGCTCCAGGTGTTGGTGAGTCTGCTGCAGCTCTAGGTGCCCGTGAGTCTGCCGACGCTCTAGGTACTAGTGTGTCTACTGCCACAGGTCCTGCCTCAGCTGAGGTCTTGCACACTTTCACGCTTGACTCAGGCGCGTCGTGTTGCTTCTTTCGTGATTGCACCACAGTCACACCACTTGCAGCACCTGTCCCAGTCTCACTGGCTGACCCCTCTGGGGGCCCAGTGGTTGCGCGAGCCTCCACTGTCCTCCCTTGTCCGGCAGTCCCCTCCGGTTCTCTATCAGGTCTCCACCTCCCCACGTTCTCGACGAACTTGGTGAGCAACACTGCCATTCAGGATGTCTGGGTTGATACATTTATTCCTGGAGGGCAGCGTGTGGCGATCTGTACGTGCTCACGGACTGGCCGTCACCTGGCTACGTTCACTCAACAGCCTGGGTCTAGTCTGTACACACTGACCACTGCGTCTGCACAGTTGGCCGAGTCAGGTCAGGTGGCTGCGTCGAGTCGGGCGTCTGCGTCGGGACAGTTAGCTGCGTCTTGCTCGTGCAGAGTACTCACGCACGAAACTCAGCGCTGGCACCACCGTCTTGGTCACCCCTCCCTGCCGCGTCTACGCAGCATGCACTCCAGTCTCCTTGTCTCTGGCCTCCCCAAGACCCTGCCCCCCCTGCCGCGCTCGCTTGCCCCGCCGTGCCTTCCTTGCGTCGAGGGGCGGCAGCGCACCGCTCCTCACTCCTCCGAGTTTCCTCCGACCACTGCTCCTCTGCAGACTCTCCACATGGATGTGGGGCCCGGCCCCTATCGGTGGAACGGACCGCGAGCACTACTTCCTGCTAGTCGTTGACGACTACACACGCTACACCACTGTCTTCCCCTTTCGGCGCAAGGCGGACGTCAGCGGTGTCCTGATCCCCTGGATCCGTGCTACTCGTCTCCAGCTGCACGAGCGGTTTGAGCAGGACTTCCCAGTCCTGCGTCTGCACTCTGACAGGGGCGGTGAGTTCTCCTCTGACCTCCTTGCAGGAGTCTGTCGAGACGAGGGCATCCGCCAGACGTTCGCGCTTCCGGCCTCTCCTCAGCAGAATGGGATTGCTGAGCGTCGCATTGGCTTGATCATGGATGTTGCTCGCACCTCCATGATCCATGCGGCCGCTCCCCATTTTCTGTGGCCGTTTGCGGTCCGATACGCTGCGCATCAGCTCAACCTCTGGCCTCGTGTCTCTGTGCAAGAGACCTCGCCCACCCTCCGGTGGACGGGGAAGGCTGGTGATGCGTCAGTGTTTCGGGTCTGGGGCGCGCTCTCCCTTGTTCGCGATGCCAAAGCGAGCAAGCTCTCCTCTCGCACTCTCCGCTGCGTCTTCCTTGGCTTCCCCACTGACGCCCCGCCGTGGCAGTTCTACCACCCGCCCTCGCGTCGAGTCTTCGCCTCCCAGGACGTCACCTTTGACGAGTCTGTCTGCTTCTACCAGCTGCACCCGCACGCGTCCCACCCGGTCCCCCTTGCACCCCTCTTCCTGGTACCAGTCCCCCCCTCGGTAGACCCCCTCCCTCCACAGGGTCCTGCTCCCTCAGGTGTGTCTCAGGTCGACCCACCCCCCTTGGATGAGCCAGTGGAGATCTCTTCTGACTCCTCTGGCCCAGCTGAGGGGGGTGACCCAGTTGCGGACGACACGGCGGCCACTCGCCGCTCTCCACGCTTGGAGACCCCCCCGGGTTTTCCGCCTCGGCCGTCTTCGCCGCCTCCGCAGCCTGCTGCTGTGGACTCTGGAGCTGAGACTACAGGTGCTAAGACTGGGGGTGCTGAGAAAGAGGGTGAGGGTTCTAGGGGTGATGTGCCTGAGGGTGCTGGTTCTGGGGGTGCTGCGACTGGGGGTGCTTGTTCTGGGGGTGCTGCGACTGGGGGTGCTGACTCTTGGGGTGCTGCGAGTCCTAGTGGCGGTGGAGTTGTGGGTGACCCTGTTGGAGGTCCTGGAGCTGGAGGTACTAGAGGTGTTGCTGGTGCTGGAGGTACTGGAGCGACTAGGCCTGGAGGTACTGCTGGAGGTTCTAGAGGTGCTACTGGTGCTGGAGGTACTGGAGCTGCTCGGCATGGAGGTACTGGAGGTGCTGCTGGTGTTGGAGGTACTGGAGCTGCTGCTGGTGCTGGAGGTACTGGAGCTGCTAGTACTGGAGGTACTGGAGCTGCTGGTGCTGGAGGTACTGCTGGTACTGGAGGTGCTAGGGGGTACTGGAGCTGCTAGCACAGGAGGTGCTGGTGCTACTGGTGCTGGAGCTGCGGGAGCTGCTGGTCCTGGAGGTGCTCGTACTAGAGGTACTGGAGCTGCCGGAGCAGGTGGTGC